TTTCCTTTTTTTTTCTGGGGAATGGGTGGTGGTTGTCGTTGTGTGTGGTGGGTGCTAATTTTTGGGGACAGGCAAACAAGAGAGCTGCAGGCGGCAACGTCTCAGACGCTGGGATACCTCGTCTGTGACGTGTTTGTGTTTTTCGCCTGCATCATTGTGGCGCTTGTCTACTCGTACAAGCTGACCCTCGTCATGCTGGCGACGGGCGTGCCATCGGCGCTCATTCTTTGGGGGTTTAGCCGTTTTCTCGACCCGGCGATCGAGGGACAGAAGAGAGAGCTTGCGCAGGCCGCTAAGCACGTCACAGCCGCCACCACTGCCATCGACCTCGTCAAGGTGTACAACGGGGCCGACCATGAGGCCTTTCAGTTCGTTTCAGCGATTCGGAGGTCTGCCAAGTTCTATTCACGCCAGGTGCTCTGTAACTGCGGGCAGATGAGCTACGTCAGTGTGATGATCATGTGGTCGTGCTGGGCTTCTACTCGCCGTTATGCTGGTGGGCCGTGGGGAGCTTACGCCGGGTGATGCGCTGACCACCTTTTACGCCGCTCTCATTGCCTTTCAGTCCATCGAGACGCTGGGCCCGCAGTGGCTTGTTGTGGCAAAGGGTATGGCGGCTGGGCAGTTCCTTCAGGGACTCACCAAGGAAAAGGATTGTGGGTCGGAGCAGCAGGCTACCGGCTGGTTGAAGCCTTCGTGGTGTGCAGGGGAGGTTAAAATGAGCAACGTGAGTGATGGGCCAGCCGTTCCATCGGACGAGACTAACATCAGCAGGTCAACTTTGCGTATCCGTCTAACCCCACCAAGACGGTCATCCACTCCTCGAGTCTAAAGTTCGCTGCTGGTCAGCTTACCTTCCTCGTCGGCAGCAGTGGTTCTGGCAAGAGCACGCTGGGGAGTCTGCTCGTGCGATTCTACGAGCCCATGGCCGGACGAATCACTTTGGACGGCACGCCCATCACAACCCTCGATCTCGACTGGCTGCGCCGAAACGTCACGCTTATCCAACAGTCCAGCTCGCTGTTTAGCGATACCCTGTTCCAGAACATTGCACTCGGCTCCTCAGAACCCGAAGGTGTTTCCCATGACGCCGTTCGAAGCGCCTGCACCATGGCTCTCCTCCAATCGACCATCGTCGGTTTGCCTGACGGGTTAAACACCACGATCGGCCCTGGCGCTCACAACCTTAGCGGGGGACAGAAGCAGCGGCTGGCCCTTGCCCGCGCAAAAATTCGAGATCCTGCCGTCCTTATCTTAGACGAAATCACAGGCTGGCTTGGACCCCGTCAGCAGGACCCTAATCATGGAGGCCATTCGCGTGTGGAGGAAGGGCAAAACAACCATCATCATCACGCATGAGGTAAACCACATTGCGGACGATGAGTACGTGTATGTGCTTGCGGATGGCTCAGTGGTCCAAGAGGGGCTGAGGCGTGACATTGAAGAGGACGAGACGGGGCTCTTCGCATCGTTGGTTGCCTCGGCCAATAACGCCTCCTCCGGCGGTTCCGTGTTTAGCGACAGCGAGAGCGAGTTTGACTCGGATCTTCCCGACGACAGCCCCGCCGAAGAGGCCCAATACGCCAAGTTACTCCGCGGCGCCCTCGTCGACAACCGGCCAATGTCCGTGGGTCTGTTTCGGCGGATTTCGTTGAGAGCTGAACCGAGTGCTCTGGACCCTCAACTTCACAAGTCTTTGTCTCACGCAAGGACGAAGCGAGCCAAATCTTACCAAAGGGGCCGATCCATGTCCCACCACACGGATGTCGACCCCTCCCAATATGGCTACGCAAGCCGCAGTTCAAGCATCCACGCCGTCACCCAACGGGGTCTGGGCGTGCAGAAGAGTAGGACTTTGAACGCACGCTCGGCACAAGCGGCTGATTCGGGTGTGAAGCGCGAGGCTTCACTCGACTCCCTGGAACGTTTCTTTCTCGAACGCCTTGCTAAGCACAAGGACCGGGACAAACCATCCAAGGGGCGCCGGCTTCCCTCCTTTACTGCCATTCTGCTAACTGTCTGGCCGACGTTAGACATGGTGGGCAAGGGGCAACTAATTCTCGGCATCATGCTGTGTCTCGTCATTGCAGCCAGTAATCCCGTGTTCTCCTACTTCTTTGCCAACCTCGTTGGGGAATTCTGGATTGCCGAAGGCGAGGAAAGCTCGGTCTCGCTATGGGCTGGTCTTCTCGCGGTCATTGCCGTCATCGACGCAAGCGCCACCTTCTTTGGTTACTTTCTCATGGAGAAGGTTGCCCAGAAATGGGTCAACACTCTACGTGCGGAGGCGATCAAGCGTATCCTGAGCCAACCCAGGCCATGGTTCGACAAGCCAAGCCATTCTCCCGCTCGCATCACTCAATGCCTCGACCGCAACGCCGAGGAGATGCGCAAGCTCGTCGGCATGTTTGTGCCCATCCTCTTGACTATCACCGCCATGATCCTAGCGTCCACTTGTTTGGGCGCTGGCTATCCGATGGGACCTTACACTGGTGACGCTCGCTGGGCTGCCCGTGGCCATGGCAGCGGGCGCGAGCCAACTCGCTCGTGAGCGACAAATGGGGAAGCCATTTGCGAGGAAAGCTGCGTCCTCAACCCATGCGATCCTCAGTGAGACTTTCGCCAACATCAAAGTCATACGTGCCTTGACGCTAGAACGGCATTTCTACGACAAACATAGCCGCTCTACCCTAGCTACCTACCGTCTGGGTGTGAAGCGTGCGGGTTTCGTCGGCCTGTTTTACGGCGTGCACCAATCCATCATCTTCTTCCTCACGTCTCTCGTCTTTTACTACGGCGCCAAGATCCTCAGTGAGGGCCTCATCACGGTAACCGACGTGGTCAGGGTCATCAACCTGCTGCTCTTTGCGCTTGGCACCTCCGTCGCCATGTTGGGCAATCTCCCGCAAATCGCCGCCGCCAAAACGACAGCCGTACAGATGCTTTACTACGCCAACCTGTCCCACACGGCAAGCCACGAAGGCCAGGGCGAGAAGCGGTTGCTAACTCCCCTTCCCGTCCGCATGGCCAACCTCCGGTTCGCCTACCCCGGCGCTCCTCAAACCGAAGTCCTCCGCAACATCAACCTCCAAATAGACGCCGGCACCTGCACCGCCATCGTAGGCGCCTCCGGCTGCGGCAAAACAACCATCGCAAGCCTCCTCCTCCGCCTGTACGACCCCCTCCCACCACTCCCACCCCGCCCGACCCCTACCAGCCTCCCAACATCCAAAATTCCCCCTCTCCCATGAA